GAGGAGAAGGAGAAGAAGACTGATCATAATACTACTTCTAATACTAGTAGTACCCATACTAAGAATTATAAGTCTAACTATAATTATCATGATACCAATACTAATAACATATATGTTCTAATAATGGTAATACGAGTAATAATGGTAATACTAATACTAATGATAGTGATAATACTAGTAATGTTAAGGCCTACTACGTATACTAACAATAATTTAAGCAATACTAATAAGAGTACGAATACGTACTAATAGTACTGCTAATAATACTATGGATACTGATAGGCATAATGAGACTATCGCTATTTATAATAGTAATAAGCATACTAATAAGAACAATACTAATAATGACAATATTGGTAATACGAATAATCAGAAGGATAATTATAATAATCGTTGTAATAATAATGATGTGAATAATAATGATAATATACTACGAATAATGTTGTTTATACTAATAATATTAATAATATTACTCAGAATCATAAAATTAATTCTGAGAAGAATGATGATGACAGAATAATAACAATGATGGTAATACTAACAAAAATAATACCAATAATAGTACTACGAATAACCGCAATAACAAGACTAGCAATACTAATACTAGACGGATAAGAAGAGGAGGAAGAGGAGGAAGAGGAGCAGGAGTAGCAGGAGGAGCAGGAGGAGCAGGAGGAGGAGGAGGAAGAGGACCAGGAGGAGGAAGAGGACCAGGAGGACCAGGAGGACCAGGAGGAGGACCAGGAGGACCAGGAGGACCAGGAGGACCAGGAGGAGGAGCAGGAGGAGCAGGAGGAGCAAAAGGAGGAGGAGGAGGAGGAGGAGGAGGAGGAGCACGAGGACGAGGAGGAGGAGGAGAAGCAGGAGGAGGAGGAGGAGCAGGAGGAGGAGAGGGCGGAGGAGCAGGAGGAGGAGGAGGAGGAGGAGGAGGAAGAGGAGGAGAAGGAGGAGGAGCAGAAGGAGGAGGAGGAGGAGGAGGAGGAGGAGGAGGAGGAGCTGGAGGAGCATGAGGAGGAGGAGGAGGAGGAGCAGGAGGAGGAGGAGGAGGAGGCGGAGCCCCCCGTGGGCGTGGGGCGACTCGGGGAGTTCGCGGACCTCCTTGGGCCGTGGGCCTCTCGGGCTTTCCGGGGGGGCGGGCTCTCGGAGGAGGAGACCCAGACGCGCTCGAGGGTCTTCGCCGCTTTCGGCCCCGTGGGGCCCTCGCTGGGCCCGGGGAATGGTCGGGACTTCCGGGGACACCGCACTGAATCAATCAGGAAGTCGCATGTATGGGGAGGGCATTTGGCATCGCTCGGGCGTGTGCCTTTTTTGGGCGAGGGCCACCGAGGAGTAGATCGGAGCATCGTGCGGGGGCTGGGCGTCCGAGCGATGGCGAGGGTGCCGAGACACACGCCGGTCGTCGAAAGTTTTTTTGTTCGGAGATCCAGAGCCCAATCTATTGTAGGCACCTTCCTAGTTGTAAGTCGGGTACGTCCTTCCTTCTACAGGAGGAAAATTCAACCACGACGACGACGACGACGACGACGACGACGACGACAACAACAACAACGACAGCAGCAGCAACAACACCAACAACAACAAACATGTATGGGCACAATGTTTAAACTATTTTTCAATGCGTTCAAAATCCGCCTGTAGTGGAACTTCCGTGATCGATTCGTTTCCCCGACTTCCAACGCCTTCCTACTGCATGTTTTTCTACCCGCTTCTTCCGACCGACGGATACCGCTGCGCCATAATCGTTTTCGCTTTTGGGGGGCCGCCCGATCGTCGCCACCACAGGAGTCGCTTCGAAATTCTGGTCAGAAAACCCCCTGAGGGAGGTCTGGGGAGTAGCTGTATCGGTATCGGTATCGGTACCTATCGGTTTCCCCGCAGGAGGCTTATCGCCGCCTCCAGATTCCTCTTTCGGGCCATGAAGGTTACTACGGAGTTGTTTGTTGTTGTTCCTGCCATTTTTGGCCTCTGGTGGCCCTCGCCGGGCGCCAGGACCATCAAAACACGACTTGGGATGAAAAGCCGGGAGGTGTTGACGTGATGGAAAAATCATGACGTCGGAGGTCTGGGGCAACGGCCAGGACTGCTCACGGTCCGACGTGTTCCGATCCGATCCCCCGGCTTCGGTACCGATTTCGATCCTATCCAATCCGACGCAAGCCTCCCTTCAGGCCTGCAGTGGCCGAGACCGCTCTGCGAGTCCGATCCGATTCGGCGCTTGTTTCGATGCGGTCCGACCCGTTTCTTGTCCGATCCGATTTCGCGATTCGGTGGATTTGCCTTGAAGTTGTGGCCAGAAGGCAAAGCTAGACAGGCTCGGAGGTCGACTGCTGGCCCTGGCCTCCCTGACCCTGACCGTCCGAGCGTCGGGTCTCGTGGGGCACTCAGTCGGCGTGGCGTCCTCTGACTCGGGGTCAGCCTTGCCGGGGTTACGAGCGGTGAACGCATCCGTATCTACGCCCTCGCGGTCTGGGCTCCGGGGCGCGATCCCGCGGACACGAGGTCGCGCGGACACGTTCCGCGCGGGGCATCCGCGAGAAAGCGCCCCGTATCTGCGGAGTCGCGGCCCAGGGGCCCGGCCCGAGGGGCCGCAGATCCGCAGATGTGTTTCTCGCCCACGGGGGTCAGGAGGGGAAAGAACACACACACAATCAATCGTCGATTCCCAGGGAACTGTGGGAACATATGGGAGTGGGGGGGGGGGAAGACAGAAGCCCAGAAGATATGGAAAGACATGTGGGAACTTCTGGGGTGTGTGCGCATTTGTCTGTGCGTGTGTGTGTGTCCTTGGGCCCCTTCGGGGGGGGGCCCGCCCGCCCCCCCCGACGGGCCCGGGCTTGGGAGCCGTGTTGGGCCGACCTCCCCCCCCCCTCGCGGCCAGGCCGGGGCCTGTGAGCCCCCCTGCGGCCCGCCCGGGCCCGCGACGGGGCCTCCGTCGACGCTGGCCCGGGGGAGCGCGCCCCCGAGGGGGCCTCGAGCGCGGCCAAGAGGGGGGTGATGACTGCAGTGGGGGCGCGCATCAAGAAGCCACACGCTTTTCGTCAGGGTATCCTGGGTTTCTTCGCTCCTCGCGCTGCGCGGTGGCTTCCCGCAGCCGTTGAAGGAGGTGCTGCGTTCGGGGTGTTCCAGGTTTCCCCTCAGGTGCACCTCGCGCACGGGTTCTCAGGGTTGGGTTTTTTGCGAGGGTTTCTTGTGGCCGCGCCCGCACTGTAGGGGGGGATATCATGGCGTGGGCCCCGATATCTCCTCTGATTTTATGGCGCCTCTCCTTACTTCATTGCGTCCCTGGCCCCTCCCCTGGGCCTCGCACCTGCCGCCGGCCACGATCTGCGCCCCCCCTCTTGGACGCCCCCCTCTTGGCCGCTCCCGAGGGCCTCCGGCGCCTCGAGCACCTCGTGCCCGCCAAATGTTTTGCACTGTGCCAGGGTCTTCTGCTTCGAGGGGCCCAGAGACTGGGGAAGAGCAGCAAGTTCCGGGGCCAGCGACCCAGCACAGATCTGGGCGTCGGAGGTTCCGACGTCTCGTTTTGTTCCGCACCCGGCCCCCACGTCTCGGCACCCTTTCCCAGAGGAGGAGGAGGAGGAGGAGGAGGAGGAGGTGTTCTATGTCGGTGCTGGGCCCGCCTCCTGTCCTGTTTCGCGCGGCCCACAGGCCTCTCCTCCCCTTCCCAGGGGCCAGCTCTTCGTCACGAGCTGGCGCTCGACGGCTCCGGGGCTTGGAAGCGGCCCCGTCCTTGGGGGAGAAGCTTGAGGCCGGCCAGGAGGGTCTTCGAGCCACGGGGCGGGGGTCTCGCGCCCGTCGCGGGGCGGCCTTGGGCCGTTTCTGGAGATGCCTGGGCGAGGGCTCGGGGCCGTCTTGGAGGCCTGCTGCCAGCCCTCCCGTGGTGTCCCGTGGTGTCCCGTTGAGTGAGATCGATCGTGAGATCGATTGAGTCAGATGTTGGTTCCCCCCCCCTCTCCCCCCCCCACAACCTCCTTACCACCCGAAGGGTGGTCGTATAGGTAATCAGCTTGGGGGATGGCCAGGAGGCGCAGGAGGAGGAGGAGGAGGAGGAGGAGGAGGAGGAGGTGGAGGAGGAGGAGGAGGGGGATGGCCAGGAGGCGCTGGACCGGGCGCTCCAGCAGCTGCGCGAGGCGGAGCAGCGTGCGGCCTCGGCCGAGGCGAAGAGCAAGGCCCCGGACGGAGCAGAGAAGCAAGAAATAGTCTGGGGACAATTTTTTGACCATTTTGGACCATAGTGTGGAGTATGTTCAGGGTGTTTTTAATTCTTCGTCAAAAATCCCCCTGTAGGGGGACAGGCCCGACTTAAGAGTAGTGGGCCGACTGCGGTGAATAGTTACCAGATGATGTCGTCCCGTCCACAACACACGAGTGGAATGTTCCGCAGACTCAGGTCTGCGTGTAGCTAGTTGATTCGACGAACATGTCAATTATGGGGTGGATTAACTCTGTAGTCGATCTCCTACTCAAACTCTTGGGTCCGCACGAATTTTTGTCGGTTTTTGGCGGTTGTTCATCTTCGGGATACTTTCCAGCAGATGCGACTCGCCGAGAGCGTCCCAGGGGCGCCCGCATCGTAGTTGATGTGTAGATGTCCTCCCGAGGTAAGGGAAGGGAAGCACTAGTGCCCAGCATGTAGCGAGGTATATATGACAGAGCGGCGTGATCGCCGCTTTGGCTCAAGCCATTCAGTGAGAAACCTCACGCGAGTGCGAATCCTGTTTGCGGCGGCAAGCCCCTCTTTCCCCCATCATTCCATATCAGATAATCTCGATTATCAGCATCACGACGTTCCTCGCGGTCCTTTCCCTCTTCGTGGCCCTTCGGGCCAACAGGGCTCTCAAGACCGGCACGGTGGGCGTGCCTGTATCACCTCTGTCAGCGGACGCGCTGACGGACTACGACGGCGGCGAACCTCTGGAGGCGTTGTCCCAGGAGGAGGAGCGAGAGGAAAACAACTTGGTAGCGGAGCAGGTGCGATCCCGTACCTGCTCCCAGGATAAGATACCACTGCGCTACTACGACTACGTCATGTCGAACGCCCCGCAGATGACCGGTGGCATACCAGCTGGACCTCAGATCGTGCAGTCGAATACGAAGACGCCACCGAGCTGGGACCCCGCCAGGGAGTCCTCATATCCACTCCGTGATTGGATCACGGACATCCGCATGTGGGAAGCGATGACAGATATACCGGCACGTTCGATTGCTCCGGCCGTGGTCTTGCAGTTATCAGGATTGGCCAGAAAGATATCGAGAGAAGTGCCGCCAGATCAACTACAGGACGGAGTTTACATGGACCTCCGTGATGGAGCTGGACATCGATGGTGTTCGGGGCTGGACCTATTGATTCATGGGCTGCGACGCAAATTCATGCCGCTGGAGGTGGAGACCGCTATCGCGAGCATGACAGACCTGGTTGCCTTTCGTCGACGGCCAGGCGAACCGATTGACCAAGCTTTGGCACGATTTGATCTCCTGAAGTTCAAGGCTGAGCATCTGGGAAATTTCCATATGGGAATTCCGAATGTGGCTTGGATGTAACTCAATGCTCTTGGTTCTCCACCGCCACACTGGGCTCAGTTTCTGGCACCAACGGGAGGTAACTTACCAACGAATGAACAGGAGCTTTCAAGTCTTACCTCCTTTATCAGGCGTCAGAATCATCTTTACGAGCGAAGTGGACTCGCGCAGGCAGCTCATCAATCCAGGCATCAGCATTTCACAAACCCCACAGGCTCCGGTGACGGTTTCTACTTCACGGACAGTTCACAGGACACTGGCACCCAAGTGGGAATACCACCGCCACCGATGCCCTACTACCCCAGCGCATCGTCCCCGTCGAGGTCAGGTGTGCCACTCGGCGGAGCTGCTGGGGTATCGAATGGATCAAATACGGAAGGATGCTGGCACAGCAATTGCCACAAGATATTCTACGACCGGGAAGATCCGGACTCCACCGAGACGAGCGATGATGACGGCAATGATTTGGCGGAGTCGACCTTCCACATCAGTGCCCAGATGAGCGACAGCGATCTGTATGAAGTATACGCTTTGGCCAAGAAGCACTGGAGGAGGCGAGCGGACAGACTTCCAAGGCGTCGTAGATACAAAGGCAAAGGCAAGGGCAAGAAAGGGGTCAGATTTCAGAGAAGTCTTTTCTTTCGGAAGCAGGAGACGGAGCTCTTTGCCCCGGGTGCACGTGGAACACCCATGAACACTACAAGGGCAAGGGCAAGGGCGAGAAGACCAACCCGAGAGGCGCGAACGGACAGCCACTTCGATGTGACCACTGCAACAGCGAGAAGCATCTATGGAGGAAGTGCGACGCTCCGGGAGCTGACGATCACCGACGAAAGCGGGCTACCTCAGGAGGAAAGGGTTATGTGACGACAGAAGGGGATATGAGTACAGGATGAGCCCAACCAGCTTCAAGCTTCTCCAGCGCGTTGCAGCACTGGCAGCAACTCACGGGTCAACCGGCAGCGTCTACGGCGACCAGACACTTCTTCACCATGCCGAGCAACATGGAGTCGCAGGTGGACGTGTCCAAGGATGACGAGAAGGAGTACGAGGACAGCTACTACCCGGACGTGGAGGAGGAGGGCTCGCGCCTGTGCGAGTCGCATGCACGGCCAGACCTTCAAGAGGGGGCCCGCCGCGACTGTGCTTCATCCGCATCCTGGGATATGCTCTCGACTCCCTCGGAGTTCGTGGACATCGGCAACGAGACGATTCAGATGATTGAACAGGCGAAGGCTCGGATCATGGACGGCCCGGACACGGAGGCAACTCTTGAAGAACCTCAGTCCAACAACGAGCAGATCGACTCAGGAACCAAGCCCGCTGGATTGAAGTGGTTTGTGGGACCGGTGTTCGAGCGATACGATGAGGCACGACAGGTATTTCTAGAGGCGACACGAATCGATGGTAAGGAGTGCCTATTGATAGATCCAGGTGCGTATGACAATTTGGTGGGTGACAGATGGGTCATGCGAATGGGGGCTCTGGCAAAACGGGCATGTCTGGAACCGACGCAACGTCTGATGGATCAATCGATCGGGGTTGAAGGAGTCGGCGCCAATGCTCAGATCGCCAAGGAGGAGGTGACGATGCCAGGCGCAGCCAAGGACGAACGAGGCAAGGTGCATCAGATAAGCTACAAGGCCCCAGTGGTTCCTGATTCCGATATTCCCGCTGTCTGGGGAAAGCGTAGTCTGAAGCACAACAGGGCGGTGGTCGACATGATCAACAACAAATTGTACCTGCGTGGCCCTGGAAGAGTACTGTTCACACCACCGCCGGGGACGCTCACCTTCAATCTAGAGGGCTCGCGATCAGGACATTTGCTGTTGCCTATCTCGCATTTCTTCGGCAACGGTAAGGACAAGAAGGTGCGCGCGAAGCAGGAGCCGGCCACTTGGCATGCGAGTGCGCCTGCGGTCATCAAGCCCATGATCAAAGATAAGGCGAAGGAGGACGAGGCAGACGCGCCGACGCATGAGCCGACACCGGCCACTCCCTCGGCGCCTGCGGTGCACTGAGGGTGCGGACCGCCGCTACCAAGCGGCGGCGGTGCCGCAGGAAATCATATAGCTTGGCATCTGGACGTCCCCGAGCAGGACCCCGAGATCATTGTGATAGACGAGGACAATGGCCATCCGATCCGCACGAAGTTGCTGAGTCAGGCCAACATCACCTACACCCGCCTAAGTCTTCTGCACACCTCGACCATGGAGCATATTCTCCGACTCTTGGAGCGGGGGAAGTGCCGAGGTGTTTGGATGCGACTACATTCCCTCATACCTGACGTTGCGAGACGACAAGGGAAGACCCGAAAGCAAAGGCAAATATTGATGGCGACCTCCAAACTCATCGCGCGCTTGATTCAGCTTCGGTGCGTGCTGGTGGTCGACTCTCAAGCTACGAATGAGGCCTGGCAGGAGGATGATATTCTCAGAGCGACGGCAACGACCCTGCCAGGATATCGGATGACAGATCATCGATGGTGCAGCTACCTAACGTCGGGCAAAGACCAGATATTCTTTTCCAACCTGGACTTGCTCCCCGACTCGTGCAGCTGTGGCCGGAAGAGCTCAGATCATTGCAGATCGACAGGGTTGGAACACGTTCAGCTTGAAGGTCAGTTTCTGACCGTATTTCGGCAGAACCGACTTCGAGACAAGCTATTCGATGCGGTTCGAGGAGAAGTACGTGACGACAATGACACGGATCGAGATGCACGATATCCGCAGACGGGACCGGATGAGCCCGTTGACTCCCACATGGTGGCAACGAAGTCGAAGACGGTCAGCTTCTATCCGACCGACTCTGCCAAGGCCTACAAAGAGAAGCTGAAGTCCAGGAAGGCCGAGGGACACGAACCGAAGAAGAAGGTCAAGAAGATTCTAGATCCCGAAGTCATGGATGACTGTGGCGAGGACCTCGGAGAGCTCAACTATCTACGGAACGAGGAGGTGTGCTGGTGGGAGATGCCGGGCAACGAAGTGGAGGACTACTATCTGGAACCTAGCGAGTTCAAGACGGATGATATCGTCGGAAGACTTCGAGACGACCGTCCGCCAGACCGAGAACGACACTTCCTTGGCATCCCATCGGGTCGATCCTTCCTGAATCACACAAAGCAGACCGAGAGCAGTTTCTTCGTTGACGTGGCCGAAATCATGGGAGGAGAAGGACGCACCACTCAACTACTCGTTCGACGACATTACGCGGGAGGTCGTAACTTTGATGCTCTCATGGGCGTAGATCTCCTCCAGCGTGACGAGGAAATGGAGCTCTACCAATATCTGAAGGAGGAGCGACCCTTTGTGTTGGTGATGGCTCCTCGATGTACTGGCACAGCTGGATGGTGCACGGTCAACGAGTCGATCGGCAGCGAGGTGCACCGTCGCAATGCGGAGGTCTCTTTCAGGCTAGGACAGATTTGTGCGAAGGCGGCTCACATTCAGCTGGACGGAGGACGCCACTACGCCAATGAGTTGCCGAGGGGAAGCCGTATTTATCGAACTCCAGAATGGATGGGTCTGGCCCGGAAGAATCTTACGTGGGTTCAGCTCAACATGTGTATGCTGGGGCTCGTCAACTCGAAGAAGGGGCCTTTGAATAAGCCGGAGGAGGTATGGGCGAGTCACGAGGTGCTGATCTATCG